TTCTATGTTGTATTTTTGTGATGTTCTTAAGGCATACATGTGATGTTTTACGATATATTTTGAACGTGCACATAGTATAATTTTAATGATCCATGATTAACTTTTGAGTGTTCATATAGTACTTATGAAGGGGTGCGTGATTTTTTTTTTGATTTGGTATAATAATAAAAATATTTCATATTTATCATAAACATCAACATATTGTAGTGGTAGGAGAATGATATCTTAGACTATGGTGTCTTGGGTTCAATTCCTTACACCTTCACAATCTTTACTATTTTATTTTTTATTTTCTTTAGTTGGAGAAAGAAGGAAAAAAACTTGCGGACCGAAAAAAAAATATCGACGCAAATGGGGTGTCAAACCTTGAGATGGGACGTGGGCGGGAAGCGAGTTCGGCACAGACGGGGCGTCATAGGTGGGCAGGAGACAAGACGCACGTGGGAAATGGGGCACGGGAATCATTGGACCGAGTCTATGGTCCGAATGGTCGGACTGTAGCACGCCCCGAGATAAGAGACTTGGGGCGAAACGAAATTGGATTTCGTTTTTCTCTATCCTAGCATGCTACAACCTTGGCCCTTATTAGGCCATGTGAAGGGACTGCTTGTGAGTGTAGAGACTTAGGGCCCATAACTGATGCAGGCAAACAACACACATAATTTGTTGGCGCGGGCCCATCTGGTGCTACTCGTTCAAACAACACGAGTTGTACCATTTGCACCTGACTCTAAAATGCTAGCCTAATCCAAATGGTACATCCACTATGGTCCAGACAAACAAACAAAATCTATGTAAGGCACGTTGATTGACCATATTTTGTAAGACCAAATCAGGTGGATGTCAAATTCACCAAGCCACTAGCAACAAAGCCCTACATAAGTGAGGAATAGCGGCTCTTCTTCTTAATATATAATGATACGTAGCTCTCATGCGTGTTCGAGAAAAAAAAAGTATAGCGGCCTGAGTCATGGTAATGTAGCATATAAATGCTTTTGCAAGCTTGTGCATGCATAATTCTTCTTACTCTCCTCATAAATCAGAACGTTATCTTCCATGTAGTAGAAAATGAGATACTAGAGAAATTATCACCTCGTAGGCTGACACCAAGATTAAAAAAGACATATTTGGTCTATGCTTTATCTGTATCAACTGTAGTTGAACATTTAGGCTGTGCTTGGTAGGAATTTTGTTTCTCGCAGAAATGTTTCAGGAGATAAATTTATTTTGGTTCCCACATAAAACATGTCTCTCTACTTTTTTATTTGCAAGTGAATTCTGGAAATGTTTCTGGGTTTGACTCTGAATCCTAGAATCGTTTGACAGGGACAGAGAAATGGTAAAATAAAATAAAAAACCTATCAAACACAACCTTAAATAGTCACAGTCAATGGTGACATCACAGTCTCTCTACTATTACAAACCAATACATGAAAACCTTATTAGCTTTATAGCCCATATGTGTCTCCTCCATGATTAAAAAAAACTAAAGGGACCTTTTTCTTCCTTGTTACGCTTGGGCCTACGTCGAATAGGTAAAGTCATAAAGGTAAAATTGATCGAAAAGCCTCGAAATTAGATCAAAGCAATTCGGTATGCTAGACTAGAATATAACAAAAGAGCGCTTCTAAACTTGCATATGGTTCTTTATATAATAGGATGGTAATTTTTCTTTATTCAGGAACACAAGTGTCACGGCTATGACCAAACGTAGATCAATTACTCATCACCGCCAGATTGCAACACTGACCAGTGATGGCTAAACACTCATCACCGTCGAATGATGATGTGAACTTACTACAATTTGAGGACATCAGCACTGGATAAATCTACGAACCGGCAATGACCATGGCATCATCACAGCTAGATCAAGCGCAAAACCGGCGATGACAACCTATTACCACTGCCAGTTTGGTGACAAAACCATGGTTATCATCATCGACATTTCATGGAGGACCAAAACCAGCGGTGATAAAGAGGTTTCAAGCAGGTGGTGATGGCGTTTTTGTAGTGGTGGTTTTATAATAAGCTCAATTTATCTCTAACTTACTGCACATCCATGGTTATGCCCTCGTCATCCCGCAATTTATTCCATGGTGTAGAGTATTCCCTCTGTTCCAAAGTACTTAAATTTTATAGGTCTGGACATGATAATTTTTTAAAAGTGAAAATATGTGGCGCACATAAAACAAGGAGAGAATAGAGAGACGTAGATAGAAATGCAATGGAAAGACATCAAATGTATTAAAATTCTAGAAGGTCGAATATTTTTAAATGAAATTTAAAAGCTATATAAGGCAAAAGTATTTTGGGACGAGGGGTTAACTAATATCCGATTATTCAGCGGCATGGAACGTTTGCACACGTTCTCGATGCTGATGTAGTTATATATTCATGTTTTTGTTTTTGCATGATTGTTAATATTTGTTTTCCATGAAGTGTCATATCACACAGACGACGACAACTTCAACTTGTACGAAGACACAATGAATCAGGACCAACATCTCATGTGCCATCATGTGCCGAACTTTGGGGCGACGTCCTGGGTCAAGAAACGGGCCACTAGCTAACTACGCAGGATTCAAGAACGAGCACTCCTGTTGACTGTTGCAATGCAGTTACGCAGATAGTCCAATCTATTTCAAAAAAAAAAAGGTAGTCCAATCTACAACAGCATAACTTTGTACTTTGGGCAACCAAGGCTTTCAAATCTGTGGAAACATTCGGTGGAATCGTAAAGCCTATCTACAAAATATACTCCCTACAAATTACATGTCACTCTTGTCCTAAACTAAGTTTCTTTAATTTTAACTAAGTTATAAAAATATGCTAGCATATATAACATCAATTTGATTTTTATAAATTCATCATGAAAAAATATATGTATAGCGCATTTATGTTAACCCGTAGATGTTAATATATTTTTAATTTTTTTTGTTAAATATATATAAATTTGACTTACAACAAAACTGAAGTGGTATGTGTCCACAAAGAGCAAAGAGAGAATACTAAAAAGAAAAGAAAAGAGAGAAGTGTACGTGGACTGAACTTTTTTTTTTTTGCACTTTGTGAATTTTATTTATCTAATAATTATACTCCCTCTATTCTAAATTGTAAGTCGTTCTGTCTTTTTTTATACATACTCCCTCTGTCTCATAATAAGTGCACTTCTAAAGTATAAAATTTATCCTAAAATAAATGCAACTCTAGCTATAGGATCACATAACTCTTAGTTGTCTTTTTATACTATCTCTAATCTCAAAGTGCAATGATTACATGTTAGAGCAACTTTTTAGGGGTATATATATATATATATATATATATATATATATATATATATATATATATATATATATATATATATATATATATATATATATATATGACGTCCTGTTCGGCCGGTATTAAAGCCGGCTGATAAGTTGGCTGAAACTATTTTGTTGTGAGAGAAAAATACTGTAGATTATAGCTGATAAGCCGGCTGATAAGTTCAAGCGAAAAGGCCCACACTAAGATTGATCTCTTCACCAACATCTAGAAGTATGTTTATTTTGAGACGGATGGAGTAGTTCTTTTCTATGTATCATCTAGATATAACATATATCTAAGTATGCAACAAAAGTTATGAACATAGAAAGCCAGAACAACTTATATAATGTTAAAACGTGGTATAGAGGGGTGGTAAAATTTAACCAAGGTATTTTAACTCGCTACTCTACTTCATGTTGTCCAAGTCATTTGGGCTCCCCACTTTTCACTGCTCCGCTTGCTATTGATTGAGGCCATGTTCTGCAGCACTATTTCAACAATACTTTTTAGTGAAGTAACAGTGATTTTCTCTTAAAACATTTCAGCATAAGCTAAATTTCAGCGAAATGAAAAAAGTCTTCCACTTCGTAACAGTATTTTTCTCAAACAATATTTCAGCATAAGCTAAATTTCAGCGAAACGAACATAAATCTTCCACTTCCTGTTGTCGAAATCTTTGAGCTTTGAGAATAGTCACCTCGGTCCTCAAGAATAGTTGAGCTGAAAATTTTGCAACAACTTGGCTGTATGCAGTCATGTAAGCTGAACCTTTTGAATTTCTAAAAATGTATAAGTGGTTCACCTAAGGACTGGACGACCGACTGGACGACCTTACTGATTAAATGCTAGCCCGATTAACTTTGCATTCCTTACCATACCATGGTCTTCTTCCAAGTTTACTCTAGTCTCCAGTTTACGACTTGTTTGCATCCATCCATCCATGTTGTCATAGCACTTGTTCCATGTTCTCTCTAACATACGCCTTGTTAGCGTCAACGTCATCATAGCACAGCACGTTTTCAAAATGATTTATCAAATTATCATGTGTTTTGGACCTTAGGATGAATCATTTAGGCCCCGTTCGGCTAGAGAAATTCTGGATAAATTTGAATAAAAAATATTGTTACGGATAAAATATTGTGAGAGAAAAACACTATTTCGGATGATAAAAAAACGGCTCTAAGCTGGGTTTAAGGGCAGGACGGCAGGACGGGGCCATTTCAGGGACGTGAAACTTCTACAAAGACATGACACATGCCGAGACAAGTAGTGGGTGCATTTACTCTTGTGGAAACCAAACACACCTACAACTCTCGTGGAACTCGTCTCGCAGTTCAATCTGCTCATGATCCTAGCAATTATCAAGCTCCATGAAATCTGCTGTATCTGAAATTGCCCACGTTGCCAACCATCTGAATGCTGAACTGAATAAGAGCATACGCTCGATTCATTCAAAACCTGATTCAGCAATATCCTCCCCTGCTCTTCCCAGTCAACCAGCATGCACAGATGATTTATCTTACTTGAAAATGCTGGGCGTTGGCAATGATATGTACATCAAACATAGCACAAGGAAATTACAAGGCCCAATGGTAAATCGATCGACGGCAGGAGCTGAGCAACTCTAAATGCAGCTATGGAACTGGTTCACTGGCCACCATCTTCTAGCTCGCAGATTATTCGACGCTTGCTCATGTGCAGATGTGCTGCTGCTGCTGCATCGCCGGTCCCTGCCCTCCTCCTCCTGCACCCGAGCTCCTCTTCAGGTCCTGGTACATCTCCTCGATCATCGGCTTCCACAGACGAACCCGTGCGTTTATAAACCAATTCGACACCTGCAAACGCAAAAATCATTCAAATCCGTCGCCAAAAAGACTGATTTGAAATGAGTCTGATGGAATTTTGATCTCTACCTGGTTCCTGGTGAGGCCGCTTCTTGCAGCCAGCACTTCCTTCTCATGGTCCTTGGGATACCTGAACAGAAGCAGAACACCACTCCGATCATGCTCAACAACAATGTCGGATTTGGCAAACGCATTTCAGCATTCGCGCAGCAAGAATCGTGGACAGACGGACGGACTTACGGGTGCAGGAAGTTCTCGAACATCCAGGCCTTGAGCACGGCGACGGACTTCTCCGGCAGGCCGCGCTGGGGCCGCCAGCACTGCTGCTCCGCGCGCCGCAGCTGCTGCGCCGACCAGTGCTTCTGTATGAAGGCCGATTCCCAGCTCCGCTCCACGTCGCCGCCGGCCGCGGTCACCGTCACCGACGACGACGACTCGCCCCAGCAGCTGGCCCTGCTCGCCGCCACCATGATCTCGCCGGCGAGCCGCCACCTCAGGCCGCGGTACATCGCCGACACGGCGCGGTGCGCGAACGGCGCGCATATGCTGCCGCCGTTGCTGCCCGAAGGCGAGTGCATCAGCGTGTTGAACTTGGCCGTCGTGCTCTGGATCTCGTCCAAGCATTGGTTGTACTTCTGGTCCATCTGCAGATCATCGTCGAACACAATAAAGATCCAAAATTTGACAGGGTAATTAATTATTAGTGTGAACGAACGAATGGTCACCAGTTGAAGCGTCTTGAGGAGCTTGCTCCGGACCCTCTGAGCCTCTCCCCAGCGCGCGCCGGCGTCGGCCGACGAGGCCACCATGAGCCGGTTGGAGCTCACCGCGGACGGCGCGTCGACCGAGCCGCCGTCGACGCCGCTGCACGAGTCGTCGGCCACGTCGGCGACGCCGTCCAGCATGTGGCTCACGACGTCGTTGAGCACCTCCTGGACCACGGCCGCGTACCGGGAGCGCGCCACCACAACGGTGAAGTGCGGCGCCATCCCGGACCGGGAGCGCGCCCGCGGGTGCAGCACCTGCGGGAGCTCGGTCAGCGCGGAGCGGCTCCCTCCCGAGGAGCACTGCTCCGCGGCGTTCAGCGCGCTGTCCGAGGACGAGATGGAGTTGGAGCACAGCGTCAGCGACAGCTTGCTCGCCGGCGCCGCGGACTCGTTGGCGCCACTGCAGGCGGCGGCAAGCGGGTAGTGGAACCCGCCTCCCGCTTCGGGGAGCCCGGCCCCGGCGAGGTGGTACGGGTCATGGGCCAACACGGCTACTGGTCCGCCGGCGCTGGTCCAGATACCGTACGGCTTCTTGGACGACGATGGCGGCGACGACCAGACCGCCATGGCCCCCGGTTGGCCGGGGCACCGCAAGCTCGCCGCGACGCGGCTGTCGCTGCCGGGAACGCCGTACACGTCGTCGTCCATCTCCTCCGGCGGCGTCCTCCCGCCGGTACGATCATCCTGCGGCGCTGTGGTGTTGGCGAAGAGCTGGCTGGCGAAGGAGGCCAGCACGATGTTGTTCGCCGCGTAGTGCGCGCCCACCAGGTCCGTCGCCGTCGCAGCGCCGGCGCCGCATACCGCCGCGTCGCCGAGGCCGAACCCGAAGCCGCCGCCGTGGTCAAGAAGCATGCCGGGGTGGAAGTGCGGCACCTCGGCGCTCATAATGCCGCCGCCTCCTCCTCCAAAGCTGCTGCTGCTGTCGGCCATGAAGTAGCCGCCGCTCATGGCGTCCACCCCGATTGGCGAGAACGACGACGGATCACTCGCCATCTGTAGGCCAGCCAGCGAGGGAATCTTGGAAAGTTTGTAGTGATATCAGCACGCCTACAAACAGCAGCACGGATCAGAACACTGAACAATTTTCCTGTCGGATCAATACTAGGAGTAGCACTTAAAAAGATCCCCATGGTGATTGCGAAATGATTCATTGGGAAGGAAAAGGAGGTTTTGATAACTGCTAGCAGTATCTTGTCATCATTATTGAAAGGCACATAGAGCCAAACTGAATTCAAGCATATGAATCTAATGGGTGCATGAACAAATGAACTACTGTATGTAACTGCATTGACTGGGTGAATGTGATTATCAGTATGGAGATAAACAGAGAATAATGGCAAGGGACCTCGATGAAACTAAACAAGTACTAGGGCAATGATTCAGGGGAGGCACAGCAAGCAGAAGCGATAAAATATACTAAGACGAACACAAGAACCAAGGGAGACAGACAGCAAGAGAAAAAAAAATCAAAACTCTTTGGAAGATTCAACTCCCCATGTAGGAGTACGTCCTGAAATGGAAAGATGAGCATTTCCAAATGGAACGCCTACAAGGAGCAAGACAGCAATTGGGGATGTGGGAGACGCCATCACTTCTCAGGCCGGCAAGCAAGCATGCATGGCGATGGAGATTAAAAGAAAATTGAAGGGGGGAGGCAAAGAACATACAAACATCAAAGCCCCCAGGGAGCAGGAGCAGGTCTCTCTCTCCCGGTCCCGGATCTTGGCGCTGCTGGGTCAGATGTGCTTGGCCTGGGCTTGCTCACAAGTCACAGAACCAAGGGAAATATGGAGGGAGGGACCCTGCTTGCTTCTCCCAAGCAGATGCAGCAGCAATGGCAAGATGTTGGCGCCCATACAGGCACGCACGCCCATCCTATATACTCCAGTACTGGGGAAACGCAAAAGGACAGTGGCATTGGCATTGACGTGGCATGAGAGTTGATTGCTGAGGCCTGTTCAGTTTAGCTATGCTCAACAACTTGCAAGAAAGGGTGTGAGGGAACAGGATAAGAGTTTTATGGGGTTTATCACCTCATCTCATGATTGGCCAACCTCAGCTACAGGAAATAAAGAAATTGCTAATCCAAGCGCACACTGTTTTGCAATGTATTATAGTACATCCTTCTTGACAAGAACAGAAGATGCATTATGCTATAAAACGAAGTGCAAGTGGTGCGTCATGCACGTGGCTAAATAAGCGTTTCACTGCCCAAGTGGAGAACACTCATCATCCACAGGAGTTGAAGCAACAAAGCAAGGTTGGCTGGCGTGTATCACATCAAGCTAGTCTAATGAAAGAAAGATCCAGTAATCTGGACAGTAACAATGCACTTACCTGCCTATTGGCCTTGACGCTGCAGCAGCTTAAGAGAGTGCTCGGCTGGCATTAATTGGGTACTGTAGCAGCTGGTTTTCACTGTAGCAGCTCGAAAATAGGGAAAGGAAAACACTGTTTGAGCTGGAAAAAAGAGAGGACCCAGCCAGTCAGAAACGGCCAGCCGAACACTCCCTAAGGCACGTTTGCATCCACTAGAACACAGCTGATCCTAACACCTTAGACCATGGTTTGACTCCTGTATAATCAATCCATCTCAGATTATTGAATCCCATAAGCTACTTTATTCTAAGGTCCTGTTTTATAAATTCAGTTTTTGTCTGTTAAAATTCACTAGAATCTAGTCTGTTGGGATTAGATTTTTTAGAATTCTGAATTTTTTTTTAATCTAGATTCTTAAAATCATCCAAATGGTGTCCAAGCTTGTGCTGTCAAATACCGACCACCCTACCATCAGTGATCCAAACAAGCTTTTTACAAATTATTCCAAACTATAATACTTTTGTTTTCTATAGACGTGGATGTATCTAGACATAGAATTATTGTCAAATGTCAGAAAGAGAAAAATGTTTCAAGGAGAATCACTTGGAAGTTGGACCCTAATCCAGAGAGACACCAAAAACTTGGTTTTTTTAGGTGGTGTTTGGATCCGGTGACTAAAATGTAGAAGGTGTGTCGGGAGGATGTTGCATGAGGTGTTCGGATACTAATAAAAAAACAAATTATATAATCAGTCAGTACTCGACGAGACGAATTTTTCAAGACTAATTAAGCCGTCATTAGCATATGTTTACTGTAGCACAACATTGTCAAATCATGGACAAATTAGGCTTAAAAGTTTCGTCTCGCAAATTAGTCGTAAACTATACAATTAGTTTCGTAATTAATCTATATTTAATACTCCATACATGTGTCTAAACATCCGATGGGACAACGACTAAAATTTAGAAGGTGGAACCAAACACCCACTTATTCTAGTTCTAGTTCAAGAATCCAACGAACTAGTCAAACGGTTCCAAATTGCAATTCTGATGTAGTAGAGAAACATTTTAAAGAGAATCTGAACATGAAACGTGAAAGAATTTAGATTCCTACCAAACATCTTGGTCTTGCGGTTCCCTATTGTTAGAAAATATTGGCAAAGGCAGCAACCAGCAGCGGGAGGAGGAGGCCAAGGAAATGTGTCCAAATAAACCTGCTGCTCTGAAAGTTGTGGGATCGTTTGAGCACTACGGAGTAGACTTTGTGCAGGCTTTTAAGGACCTTTCCGGATCTATATGCACACATGTCTGCTTTGTTCGCCGCATACACTTGCATCGGTTCATTTTCCGTGCAAATGATACAATATAAGGCAGCCAAAAGATCAGGAATCTCTCCAGAGCAGGGTTTGCAGCTGCAGCTGTAGGTACCAGGCAGGGGCAGGTTGTGACTTGTGAGCATCAACCCATATCAAACTCGCTACGCACCATGAGACAAAGGAGTACTGCTCCCTGTAAGTAATGTATAACATCCCTAGGTGTTACGAGCTCGCTTAGCACCGAGATTCATGTACGAAAGGGATTAGCCAAATAAGTTTTTGGATTTTAAAAATTTATAACGCACATAAAATGATAAGCGAATCCTATGTGACTCACTTTTATGGACTCAAATAAATATCCAAGTTAACTTACTTGGTGCGTAAAGTGCTAATGAAAATGCTAACGAGAAAAATGAGATAAGTCATTTTAATTGTTTGGCACGAAAAACAATTTATATAAATAAAAATAAAATATAACTTGTGTGTAACACTTAAGTAAAGATGACGAGCAAGTGGTGTAGTTGAAGATGCAACTTTAAATTGTGAAAATAAATGTTCTTAACTAGTGTTTTTGGAAGCTCAAAAATCAAATTTGAAGTTAAGATAAGCTCTTTTCGTTAAGTCATGTAATTTTTGGCGAACTATATTAAGCAAAATAGTTAAATAGTGCTTAAGTATTTCGTTCCTATGGTCCAGTATGAAGTATGGGCTATCACATGTAGTATTTTTTTTGAAGTTACTAAGGTATGGACCTCTTAAAAATTATGGCAACAAGTGTTCATAGATGCTATATCCAAATTGAACCTTTGTCTTTTCTAAGTCGGAAAAGAGTGTTGGACATTACTATTTTGGCGTTTAAGTTCTAACTAAAATGCTTAAACACTAGCTTCATGATTTCTAGTGTTTGTTGCCTCTTAGTAAGTACTTTAGCATGGTGAAGTCCACGGATGAGTTGGAGTTGTCGTGGCATCGCAGAAATTGCCCTAACTTTGTTAGAAAATCATCTTCAACATCATGCCGATCTTGTTTTGGGCTTCATGACATGTCCCATGCCGGCATTCAAATGATTTTAGAGCTGGAACGGAGCTCTTGTTGGCACCTCTCTATCTCCCTCGATGCTCACTCTCCAGAACCATACTATTCCTCCTGTTGAAGGCTGGTCGGACGAGAAGCCCTTAGTGGCTACTAGAATCTTGAACTCTTGTTTTAATCTAAACCTGGGCTCCAAGCGTTGGTTTTGACGCGCTTTAAAATTCATGCTGACAACGTTGCGTGTCCGCCCTTTCACCTTGTTTTAAAGCCGTTCAAACGTAAATCACGTTGGGAGTGCGTGGTCACATTCCAAGTTTGCGTTCATTGGTCGCGCTCACTATGGCTACTCTCTCGCCGCATTATGAGAATTAAATTTTGTTGAACAAAGAACTCCCAATCTAAATATGCCTCCGTCAACATTACCAAAGAAAAGGAGGTATTTAATTTTAGCAAAGGATCATTATTACCATGATTATTACCTTCCATACCACGACGATTGAAGTTGAGGAGGCTCGGCCTACGATCTTCATCACCAAAAGCATCCGCATCTTCATGGCTTGGCGTTGCTGGTTCAATGCGGGTGACCAGATTTTCACGCTATGATCACTTCGGTCATAAGATTGCGCTTGTTCACCATGAACGTTGTAAGCTCTTTGGGTTCGATGGCCTCGAAGATAGAAAAGACAACACCAAAGTATTATCCCTATCAACTAAAAGGAAACAAGTGGTGGTGGTGGTGAAAGTGGAATGCAAAATCACAAGCGGCTTACCACCGCTACCTTACCAACGCCAAATCGCGTGTTGCCCACCCACGCTGCCCTCCTTGTCTCAAGCCGTGTTAGCAATTAACGAATGCTCATGGCGCCGGATCCCACACCCTCCAACTCACCAAAGCCATAACAGTAGCATTTGTGTTCCTAGCCTCACAACCCACCTACTAAGCCTTTTCTCGACGTCACAAAAGATGCATACAAAATCTACCACATCACGACGCCACGTTCTCCAAAAAGCATGCAAAAACACATGGCTATATTTTCACAATTTTTTTGGCAGAGCATTAACCACGTGCCCCTCGCCTCACGCTTATGGCGCGTAACCGCCTCCAACACCGATAATCTAATGCCTCCCACTAGTACTTGTCGTAAGAACTCGCGACCAATTTATAAGAGCACAAAGGTACAATGGCGGCTAGCAAGCAAGTCGAGTAATGTGGTGGCTATCATACTTGTTGAGCCCATATAATACCCGGTAGAGTCCGTCGAGTACCACGACGGGTCTCGATAAGACGATCCACATACAACCAAGATCAAAGGCACATGATTCAACA